CCTTCCCGACCCTTGCAGAAAAGATCATTGCTGGGGGGTATGAAACAAATTGAGTGATTCAATACCTTTAAAAAGGAAAAATGGTTGATATTATGTGTTATAATTCTTTTGTTACATGATAATTAGGTTACTGGGTAGAACATAATTATTTGCAGACTTTTGTGACATCTGTAGACTTCTGCAGTGCTATTTATAGACTTCCAATTGAAGCAAAGAAAAAAAACCTTATGAATGTGCTGAGTGTGTATTATTCTGTTATTACTTGGTTTGTGGGCTTTCTTGGAAAAATAATATCCAAGATTAGCACACTCCGGAAAAATAATTAAATTTGAATATGATTAGGAAAGTTCATGGCTCAGGAAAGATTGGTGAGGAGAGACATCGGAAGCAGGCTTGAAGGGTAATGACTTTCGGGGCGAGAGAGAGCAGAAGCAGGCTCCTTGCTCGGGACGGCTCCTGCTGGGAAGGCGGTGGCTCCAGCAGCTCAGCCTTTTCCCGGACAGCAGCCCCAGGATTTACAAAATGATTGTGCTCATTCTCCTGGGTAAGTGAACTGTCTTTATGGCTTGTCTGATTTCATCATATACTGATTCTTTGTAAACTGAATACTGTCCTACCTGACCTGAGCTTATAAGAAATTATAAGAAGTTTATACTTTCAAATAATTTAATATTCTTCAAAAGTATATGTTTTTATTCATTTATTTATATTTTGTAGTAAAGACAAGATGTGATAATTACGTTAACCACTCAAATTGTGTTTCATTGTAGAATATAGTTCATGATACTGAGTTATTGTTAGGATTTATGAAATCACATGTGCTAGAACTTAGTAGAAATGGAAGCTTCCAATATCTATTTATAAGTTGAAATATAACTAATATTGAATTAAGCTGCATTTTGTTTTGAAGTTCAATAAAACTGGATAAATTTAATCTATTCAATTCATCTCACTTTCTACTTAATATTTGCTAAGAGTACTTTAGTAAGGTAAAATAATACCATGTCAAATGATTTACATTTTGATTGACTTTTATCAGTAAAAGTATCAGCTTATCTCTGTGGCATTGGATTCTATGAATGTATTGTAACACAGTGGATAAAAAATTTTCTTTGCACTTAACATACTGTAAATGAACATCCACTATGTGTGTGAAAAAATATGTATATGTATGTATGTATGTATATATATTCAACATTTTGAGAGTCTATAAGTTGAATTCAGGATAAAGGGGATTAGTGATTGTATATTTGGATATTAATAGACACATATAAGATGTTTTTGGATTAAGCTAATAGATAATAAAGATCCAAGGCATGATAATAAAGATCCCAAGGCTAAGAAAATAAAATAGATCATTTAAAATTATGCTAAATTTAAGAAGAGCATGAAAATAAATGAAGTAGAAGAAAATTTGTTTAGAAGGAAAAGACTCTTCTACAAATTTTCAATTTTTCTTTGAATTGAATAATAGTTACAAAAGTTTGCTTCATTTACTAATTTCCAACATATTGCTTTAATTATTCCACTGATTTCTAGCATTTCCTTATTTCTATTTTTACTATTAAGAGCAATTTAAAAGATCTTAAATTCTGCGCATCAGGCGGTAGTGTAACAACACGCAGTAAGTCACAGCCTCATTGTGGCTGCAGCCGGACAGCAAACATTGGTGTTTTTATTTTGACTTCTGAATCAAACTTGAAACCAAGATGCACAAAGGAGAAAACTAATTTTTATCTTCGTTAGCACCAAAAAATGGCCCTCCCTGCATTCTTCAGAGTGCTTGTGAATACCACATAAACAGTCTTGTGATGAGGGAAGTTCTCTTTCCTGAGAAGTCCGGGAAGCAATGATGGTTCTAAGCTCAGAGCATCTAACATACTCATCGCTTGCTTCCACCTTTGGCATGACAATGTGCTCTGCAACTCTCTGTCTTATTAACTTGAAAATAACGCTTATTGTTCACAATTTCAGAAGAATTTTTGGAAACTCTTGAGTTACTTTGGGACTTTCAGAAAGGGAAAACATTATTTTTTTCTGTCTATGCATGGAATATTGGAAAATACTGGGATTGGCTTACATACTTAAGAATCTTTAATCTAGAGATTTTGGTTCAAAGCAGGAGGGAATGAAACTGTCTACAGAAAATGGAAAAGGGAGACTAAGGAAACATGAAGATGGAACCTAAATTAAAATGCAGATTTTATTTGCATCCATGAGAGAATGAAATGGTGCACAAAAAATGAATAAAAGAACAATAGGAAAGGCATGAGAACAGAAACTGCATTAAAATACATTTTAATAAAGGTTGCCAGAATTTTATGAAGCGTTCACTATGGCTCTTTATTAGCCACACAGTAAGTGGCGAAACATCAGGAGATCACTTCTAATGACTCACATTTGCATTGCTAAAAAGCATCCTCTGAGCCCCACAAGTTTAAGGAGGAAAGGGTAATTTGGCTCATGGTCAGTTAGCTGCAAGCACAAGCAATCTGCTCTAAGAGTGTGGCCACGAAGTGGCTTAGTTCAAGTGGCCAGAAGCAGAGCAGGGGAACAGTGCCAGAGAGCAGGGAGCTGAGGACCATCTATGGCACCGAAGTTAGCACCTCCATGACCAAGTGGTGGCATCAAGAAGGGTGCTTCACTAATCCTGAGCTAGTCAAGGTGACAATTTAGACCATCACTTTCCATCACTTCCAATCTGACAGCCACATACATCTCCTTAAACCATAACTGATTGCCAAATGAATCCAATAGGAAGTTAATAATTTCACCCAACATGGTACAACTATTTTACATACAACCCAAATATAGTAATTCCTTCCCCAAATTCTCAGTGGTCTCAACAATTTTCACAGGTCAAAGTCAAACACTCTTCTGAGTCTCCAGACAAACTCTTAACTGTGAACACCTTTAAAGTGAAAAACAAGGTGCTGGGGAGATAGCACAGTGGAATAAGTGCTTGCCTGGCAAGCACAAGATCCTGAGTTTGATCCCTGGTGCTGCCAAAAAAAAAAAAAAGAAAAGAAAGAAAAAAAAAAAGAAAAACTCTTAAATGAAAAACAAGCTACAGAACTGCAAGGTACAATGGCACTGACAAATTTTGCCATTCCAGAATGAAAGAATAAAGGAATAACAGGGAATCAGACCAAAGCATGATCACAGCTCAGCAGCAAGCACTAGGCTTGTTGCACATATCTAGTACGGGGCACACAGAGGTGGCCCATGAGCCGCAGGGCCTTCTGAGCCCCTGCCTTACGATGGTGCTGGTCACCGCTTATGAAGCTCCTCTTTTGGGCAGGTTGCATGCAGCGGAATGCACTGCTCTCAGCAGCTACTTGCCTGGCTGCCCTAGTCTTCCTTTGAAGCAGGGTAGAAGTCTTCCATGATGCTTGCACTCTGAGCACCAGTAAAACGATCACATCTTAGGTGATGCTGCAGTCTATGAGGCATTAATGAGGCCCCTTTGGACTGTGGCTGTAGTGGCCTGTGGGTGCCTGGAGGGCTGCCTACAGTGAAATCAATCCTGGGGAACCGATTCCACTGGGGGCCCTGCTTGAGGAGCGTTGCTAAGGACTCTTCTCATGAAAATTTAATACTTTTGAGTCTGTTATCTGTAGGTTCTTGGTGGTTTCTGAATTTCCCTCATGATGTCTTCCCTCTAATTCTGTGAGAAGAGTTTACTGTCTTTTAATGGTGCTAATCTCTTCAGCAATCATGTCTTTTTTGGCCCTAATTTTGCAAGTTTCTTTTTTGTCCAATATGTAGGATTTTATAAATTTACTACTTCTATTTTTGCCTCTTATTTCCACTATAAATTGGGATAAAATAGCAATCCCTATGCAACATCTTAAATGTTGGGGTGCATTGAAATTTCCTCCAACAGATCAACTGTTTAATGCCATTAATCTCAGCTTCCTGTAGTCTTAGCACACGGGCAAAAATGTAGACATTTTTTTTGGCCAGACTTTAACTTGCTTGACTTCTAATCCAACTCTCCAAATAATCCTGGTTTCCAACTGAAAACTCAAGAGCCTGATATTTACTATCCGAATTCTTATCTACATAGAGTTTCTGAGCAGAACTGCCTAATGAGCCCAGCTTGCAACCTTCTAAGGTGTCTCCAACCCATGCCACCACATTCCTCCTGCAAACCAGTCCCAAAGGCTTCTGAGCCATATGGTTGCATACTGTACCAACAGCAATCCCACTTACCTGGACTCAATGTTCTGCATTAGCCCACTTTCCCTTCCCTGAGAATCATATTTGATGACCACAACTTAGAGGAGAAGTTTAACATGGCTTACAGTTTCAGGGGTACAGTCCAAGTGGGCTGGATCCAACACAAGAGCCTCATGGCACAAGGGTGTTGGATAACAAAATTGCTTAGGAAGGACCAAGAGACTGTGAAGTGTACAGTCATGCCTTGGTGACTGCCTCGGACATACACAAGTATGCCTCCTAGTCCCCTAGGTGACTCCCAGCTAATGAAGCTGACAAGCTTAACCACTACTGTCACCAAAGGAAGAGACAGTTTCAAATCAGGTAAGCTCATAAGATGACCATCAGCAAAAAGAAGTGAAACAAAGCTTTAACAGCATGAAACATGACATGAAGGAGGTGACTGGGTTCAATTGAAAAAAAAGGTTTTGTTTTGTCGTTGTTGTTGTTTTGTTTTGTACTAGCACTCTAACTCAGGGCTTTGTGTTTGCCAGCCAGGCACTGTGTGAGGAAGTTTTGATAGAACAATACTCATAAATTAAAAATTGAGAAGGGAATAGATGGTGAGAATGAAGAGAACAAACACAGCCAATTCACATTTGAGAATATTGGATATGAGAAACATAAATTTATAGCTAAAAGTAACTTACTACTTTTTATGATGTTTTGTTTCTTATAATTCTACTTTTTAGTATTAGTAACTTAGATTTGGAAAAAATGCACACCAAATTGTAACTCTGTGAATTTATCTTCTTCTAATTCCTTTTGCTGTTCAAGTTATGGGACTTAGCTCAGAAAATAAATCCACTTCTCTCACCAAAGATTGTGCCTACTTACGACAGCAATGTCTAAGTGGGCGAACCACATGCGGACGTGCTTGGAGAGTAGTGGAAGATGCCTGCAACGTTTCAGGTAAAGCTATTTGCAAAAAGTGAGTCCGGATGACTTCTTTTCACAAAGATAAATATAAAATTTGATAATGACTAATATAATCCTAAGAAAAAAGCTAGTTTCAGTATAAATACATTATTTAACCTTAGCGTTCATGTGATTCACCTTCAATCACTGGTATGTGAGTTTAGTTACCCAGAACATTATTTGCTTTTACTAAGCCCTGATATGCTAAGGCTGAGGGCAGCTTTGCATAATGCTTCAGGGAACCTCCTTGCACATCCTGCAAGAGTAACATTCCAATTCTCTGCAAGCTTCTCAGAATCAGAGTAAAATGTTTTCCAAGTAAAGTATCATTTTGCTCGTATGCCAGTTTGTCAATAAATAGCAAGAATACTTGTGATTATGTTATCTATATTCATAATATATATTTTGTATTCTTGCAATATAGGGACTATTTTCCATTCCAGACTTATTGAGAAAAATTAAAGTTTCTTTTTATTTTTGACCTCTTATGCATTCCAAACATTTGAGCAAAGGTTCATGAGATAAAATGTGAAGATCGAAATTTTTGTTAAAAAGATGTACGTCTGAATATTCAAGTAACTGTATAAAAATTGTATAATGAGATGATAGTAACACTTCACTCATTAAAGATAGAAATCATGAGGTAACTGTGCAGTGGACTAGTGCCTTAATGTTGCTTTGAGACAAATATCCAAAAAAGTACTTGCACATGAAGAATCATCTTTTATTATGAATATTAGAATACTAACACCATCTGATGAACTTTGTGGGCCTGCAAGAGAAGTTTAGAAGGACAGTAACAGTGTGCTCTCGTGTGGTCTGCTGCCTCTCCACCCTTGTCATGCTCACAGCTCTCCCCATCTCCACTCCTTTCCTTTACCTCACATTGTGTTGACCAAAAGTCAGGAATCTGCAGCTCTGCAGTGCCAGGGCAGTCTCCTCAGAGGCTTCCTGCCTGCAGCACGACCTTGTGAGCCCGAGGATGAGGGATGTCCTGCAGCTTCTCCCTCTATCTGTCTTTGATAAAGTTCACAGACCATTTTCAGGAGAAGGAGACTTGTAGCTGTCTGTTATCATATTATTGTTTAGGAAAAATATCGTGAAAGATATACTTTCCCAAAAGTAACAAAATAATTTTAAGATGAGGACAGAGAATGACCAAAGTCATCTGCTATGTGTTTTGATGAGAAAAACTGTTGCTGTGCTTTATAAACATTTTAAAATTTGCATCATGGATTAAAATTTTCGTGTGTTTTAGTATATAACTAGTAAGTCATTTGCAGTAAATTTCAGCAATATTTGCATAATTATTTCATGCATGCAGTGGAAATAGAAGTATCTTCAAATACCAAACAAATGAACCCAAGTAGTTGTCTTGAGAATGAACAAAGGAAAACTGTAGGGTAGAGAAATACAACTTTTCAAATTAAAGTAGAAAATGGAACATTGTAGTTAGATCAACTTATTAATTTCTTCAGTAAAATATATTGAGTGCTTTCTAAGAGCCAGGACCACTTCATTTCTCATAATCAATCTAGTTTCCACTACACATCTTTCAATATAATCTTTGACACACAAAGTAAAATAACAAAATAGCTAAACTGGTGGAAGTGTTCAGAGAAAAGGGTTCTTTCATCACCTTGCACCAGGACAGCTTATGTATGGTGGCCGGCAAAGCATGTCATTCTCTGTTGGGACAAAACATTTGAAAATGCAGAAAGTCTCTTATAAAAAATACACTAAAAGCCCTCTTGTGGGAGCAATCTTCAGCAATTGTGTAGATTGTAAGAGTTACTGATATTAACGTATTAATAGTATTTCAGGTAAAAACTAAAGTCTGCAGTCAAATTAACATCTGAAGTGTTATATCTTTATGAAATCCAGGTGATTCCTGCAAGATCACTAATTCATCACATTGCAACCTGACAATCCAGTTCTTAATGGAAAGCAGTTTCCAATTTAAACAGTGTGTGTGCACTGATGACCTCTATTGTACTGTGAACACATTGTTTGGAATAAAATGCATCAATAAGTCAGGTAATACCTGTTGACTACTCTTCATTACAAAGCTAAACCTGCTAAGTCATGATATCTTATTCCCATCACCGGTTGCTTGGCTTAAATTTATAGTATTTTATTGAGATATCTGTGACCATCAGAATGCTGATGTGTTTTCTTATGATATCTTTGTCTGGGTTTGTTATCTGACTAATGGTGGCCCTTTGAAGATGAATTGGGAAGTATTAACTTTCTTTATATTACCTGGACTAGTACAAACAACTGAGCTATCTCTTCCTCCAATTATTAATTTAATTAACCACTTAATATGATTGACTACTCTGCATTAAAAGTTTAAATAAAGTCAATATGCTCAACTGATATATTAGCGGTCTAGTCACCCGTCTTTCTTGAGTGAGCATTGGTTGCCCTCTATTTGCTTCACTTATGTTGGATTATTTCATTTCCATTTAACATTTTCTGTAGAATTGCCATCTTTCTAGTAAAATTGCTCTTAATACAATTTAGCTGTCCATTTAAAAAGCCTCTAGAAGTTATTGCGATGTTTTCTCTTTCTTTCAGATATGATAATTTATGTCTTCTCTCTTTTTCTCTAATTTGCTCTTCATTTCTTTTTTGGAAGGATTAAGTTTCTCATTAATTCCTAGTTTCATAAAATGTAAGGTCACGAGGGAGATAGTTCAGTTACATAAGTGCCTGCCTGGCAAGCAGAGATCTGGAGTTAGATCCCAGGAACCTAAATAAATAAATAAATAAATAAACGAAAGGCCATATCACTGGTTTAATCTTTTTTATCCATACATTCAATATTGTGCTTTTTCTTCTAGACACTGTCTTAGTTACATCCTCAAATGTTATAGTTTAATTTTTATTTAGTAGTTCAAAATACGTCCTACTTGTCCTGTGAACTCACCTTTGACTCATAGTGCTGAGGTAAGCAGAAACATCAAAATGACACCCAGGACCTATTTCTGTCAACAAGCACTGACCAGGATTGTTGTAGTCAGGGTTTTCAAGAGAGACAATTTAATACAGGACATATAATTTGTAGGATTATTTTGTCATAGTCACCAGAGTGTCAAATAAAAAAGAGTGCAGGAAATCTGTCCACACACTGAAGACCCAGCAAAGCTAGCTGAGGGTGTGGATCCTAGGGCGGAGTCCTGCATGAGGCCAGCAGAGGACACAGAGCCCAAGACAGCATCCTCGACAAATCCAGCTGGAGGTCGAGAGCCCACAACAACATCTCATGCAAACCTACATGAAGGACTTACACTGGAAAGGCCCAAAGGCCAGTGGTGGGAGCCAGAAGCTCTGTGCCAGTGGGAGGAAGGACCCGCACCAGCAGGCTGAAGGAGCTGCACTGGGGCCAGGAAGCAACACGATGGTGAGGACTAGATCCCCCCGGAAAAGCACTGCAGCAATCCTCCAGCGATGAGAATAGCTAGAGACCTCAAGCTCCTCCAGCGATAAGAACAACGGGGCTCGTCTCAGGAACGCCAGCTCGACAAGCTTCTCTAGGAGATGAAACAGTGCAGTACCTTTTCCTCGGGCTAGGAAGCAAGGCTCAAAGCAAGGGCCAGCCTTTCCCTACAGCGAACTGCAGCCCTTCTCGGCAGCACAAAGCTTCCAGGGGCTTTGACAATGAGCACAGCCGAGTTCTCCTCAGGAACGCCAGCACGACCGGCTCCTCCAGCACCAGCAGCACCGCCTCTTCCTCTGCAGTCCTCCTTCTGATGTTGGCAGCCACCCTCGGTGTGCCCTCCACACTAAGCACCCTGCTGGCTCATGCAGCTGGTTGTCACAAATTTGCCCTCAGTCATCAATCATAGGGATCGTTCCCAAACGGTCAGGCCACAATCTCTGGTGATGTGCAGCTCTTGTATGAGATAAGCAAGCAGGAAGAACAGAGGCAGAGTAGCTTGTCATTTGGGGACTGGTTCTTACAATACACACCATAGTGACCAGCTAGCTATGCATGACAATGACAATGACATTTGTTTATAAGAAAGAAATGTCACAGGAACTGGAACTGGAACTCTTACCTGGGTAACTAACAGACCAAAGTATACTGGCAGGTGGTGCAGCATCTTTGGCTACACCTCCCCCTCTTTTAGTTTCCCAGCAAATCTTTGCTGGGTGTGTTACATTTCATCTTCTGAGACGAGGGCCATGGAGACGCAGCAACACTGGGGCTGTCAGTCACCCTGCGATGGGCCCTATCCAAGGTCTTCAACTCTGAAAACTTCCCGGGGACTACCCGCTCGGGCCCTGCTCCCATCCCTCTCTCAGACAGGAGCTTTCTTTCCCTCAGTAAATATATTCTGTTTATCAAATAAAAAAAGTGAAACTTCCCCCAGAGTGTCTGGTTTGCTCTCCTCATTATAGGATTTTTAGGAGGAGGCAGTATTTGGTCTCTTCTGTTCTGTCACAGTCCTGTGAACAGTGTCTGCAGGCTTTAGCTGTGAATGGACTGCTCAGCGTCTGGAGTGACCAGACCAGGGCTCTGAGCACACGAGCTGCACAGTGCTGTCTGGTCCAGGTATATTCTTCAGAAGTTCAGCAAGACTCCAGAATGGTGGATCTGAAGGTGGATTTCTGAAACTTCCAGAGCTGTATATATGCTGTGTGCAGTGCAGGGGTGTGCACAGGTACTGCTGGTCTGCTAGCTGAAACGGCTACAAGTTTTCCTGTGGGGAACTCTTTCAGTATGGTCTGTGTGCTTATGTGATTTTTATTTAATATTTAATAGTTCTGCCATTTTAAAATTATCTCTTCTACAAATTCAGGCCCATTATCACAGCCGGTAATCAAGGGTAGGTGACATAAGGAGGTGATTTCTCACAGCAGAATCCTGCAAACGTCTCCTGTCATGGCCAGCCTGAGTAGGTGCAGGAGCACTAAATCCTGCTGTGTGGAGGTCAGGGCTGGAGACAGATGCTGAAGCCTGCACTGGCTGTATGGGTTCAGTGCCAGGGCTGTGGTCTGAGCTTGCAAAACATAGGTAGGGGCAGGTCTGGCTCTGATTAAGATGGATCTTCCAAGAGTACCCGGCAATGTGCTACTGGCTAGGGTTGATATTTCAGTCAGTTGGATCCCCAGCTGGGGTTTAGGAGCACGGGTTTGGCATCATTGGTTGTAGGTTTCCCAGAAGCAGCAGGAAGCAGTCACAGGAGAGCTTGGGCCACAAGACTTCATCCAAGGTGACCGCAGCCCATTCAGCTTGTCGGACTCCACTCCTAACAGAGCTACCTCCATCCTTAAGCAGGATGTGCTCAATATCTGTCGGGGTTTAGTTCACAGTTAGTCAAAAGGTATGCGTGCATGGCACCAGGACAGTTGGCAATACAACAATCTATAGACATTTTCCAGTATTGAGGCCTCATTTTTTCTTTTTTGGGAGACCATGATGGAGCTGGAAGAGATGGAGAAACAGTCTTTCCCAGAGAGAAGGTGATAAGAACTGGCTAAATCTGTTGGTGGGGCCTCTCTGAAAACAGTGGGAGAGTTCCTAGACTCTTGTGGTGATTAACAGTCCAAAAAGTGTGCATGAGTTGGGAACCACAGAACACAAGGTATTGGGCCATGTCGTCAGTGGTGTAGAGATCTTGCCCGAGGTGATTGACAACAGTCTGTGCGGCTGGTGTTTGGCTGGATGGCTGTTTGTGCTTCCTGTGACCACCGGCAGCACTGGGGGTTGTGGTGGGACAACAGGGTTGATGGCCAGGCCTGGCGGTGCATCCTTAGCTTATGCCTCTGGGAGGAGAGTTTTTGGTGAGTTGTCCTTCCAGACTGCAAGTTTGGGCCTGGCAGAAGGGGCAAGAGGCAAGAGTCCCAGTTGCCCTGGTGATGGTAAATTTTGACAGGGGGAGCTTGGGAAGGCAGAGAGTTCTGTTCTGTTGTCTACCAGGAAATTCACAGGTTGCCCCTTACTTTTGCAATGATTGTGGACTCTCAGGGCCCAACCTGATGGAACTTGGTCTGTCCTATCCATCCAGGAATGACAGAGAGAAGAGAGGTCCAGCTTGGGGTGGGCCTGTGTAGTCATGTTTCTTTGTGTCTCACAGATGGAGGGGCATTTATTTTTTCAGTCCATTGCTATTGTACCTTGTAGCAGCCAGAGGGTGTGGTTGTCTATCAGATTGGATTTTCTCATGGAAATGAGAAGTTTTCCTTTTATGATGTTTCCGGGTAACGGTGGCTGATGCCCCCCTCCCCCATGTGGTGGAGAAAGCACGCAGCTGGTTGCTTCCTGGGGCTGAGAGTCCAACATTTCCTCAGCCAAAATGTGGAACTCAAAAGAAATTTGCTGAGGGCCATCTCGGGTGGATGGCCACACGTGACCAGGAGAGGTGCAGCTATGGGGTGGGAGGCTTGGGAAGGCCCTTCTGCCCAAAGGCAGGCATGGCCAGCTGCAGCCAACTCAGGTGGCTGGGAGAGGAGGAGTCGGGGTGAAGGGTGGAGCTCAGGTGCTGGCAGCAACTGTGCTGGCTGATGAGGCGGCAAAGGCAGAATTTTCAGAAACAATGGGCCCCTTTTTGATATGGTTTTCTCCGAGACCCTGGGAGCAATTTGATTTTATCTTTAACTCTGTAAAACACCCTTTCCCTGAAGTCAGGGACTGTGGGCTTTAAAATTTATTTCCCATTCTCTCTTCTTACGGAGTATGTTGTATGCCCATGAGCGATGGTGCCTCTCAGAGAGAGACCAGTCAGATGCCCACCGGGCTGTGCCCCTCACAGGACTTAGGAGTGACTCGGCTATGAGGGTGCTGGGCCTCCGTGGTGTCTGTAACCGTGGAACCACAGGCGAGGTCCACTCAGCTTGAGACCAGCGCTTCCTAGTCCTGGTGCACAGACGGAGCTGCGCGTGGCTTGCACTGTCCAGGCCACTTGCAGTCCTTCAACAGGCACCGAGAGGCTGAACATTCCACCCCACTTCCTGTGAGAGTGGTCCTAACGGGAGTTGATTGGACTCCACCCTCCACTCCAGTTGAGCAGAACCGACATAGAACCTGG